GACAGCATCTTAAAAAGCAGAGACATCACTTTGCTGACAAAGGTCAACATAGTCAAAGCTATGTTGCACTCCCATAGCTAACTACACCATAGCACAGAGTGCTGTCCTCTGAAGATGCCGGCCACAGAGACTGGTGAAACGTTAGGAAGAACAACCTTCAGAACATGGCCAAAGAGCCCGAAAAACCCACAATAGTCAAAGCTGTGTTTTTTCCAGTAGCAATATGTATGAAAGTGAGAGCTGGACCGACCATAAAGAAGGTTGATTGCCGCAGAATTGATGCTTTTGAATTGTGGTGCTGGAGGAGACTCTTGAGAGTCCCCTGCACTGCAAGAACAAACCTATCTATTTTGAAGGAAATCAACCCTGAGTGCTCACTGGAAGGACAAATTCTGAAGCCGAGGCTCCAATACTTTGGCCATCTAATGAGAAGATTCCCTGGAAAAGCCCCTGATGTTGGAAAAGTGTGAAGGCAAGAGTAGAAGGGGATGACAGAGGACGAGTTGTTTGGACAGTGTCATTGAAGCTACGAACATGAATTTGACCAAAGTCCAGGAGGCAGTGGAAGACAGGAGGGTCTGGTGTGCTCTGGTCCATGGAGTCATGAAGAGTCCGACACAACTTAAGGACTAACAAAACAACAAACCTCTAGGAGGTGCTATTTCCCTTTTAAACACATTGCATCATCCATTGCAATGGTTTAACATCCCAAAATACTTATGCTTTCAAACTAGAAGTGGATCTCAATTAATTTCTGGTTGAATCCCTGTTCCTTTTACACCACGTCAGTCTTTATGACTCTAGAAGATTCCGGGGGAAGAAAACTGGTCCACAGACTTAAAAAACTACCCACCTCAGCCTTACATACAGATATCAAGTATCCTTTTTAAGGACAAAGGCAAACTCCATCAAGTTCTGCATTTTGCTTACACAGCATCCAACCAGATTCCTATTTAACTCATTCAAACAGCACAACATACTGGATGATTTTTAAACAAGTAAATACATAAATAAATGTCAGGAGAATGGGCCAGATTTGACTTGAGCACTAATGGATGGACATTTCAGGTCTCATTTTGGTCCATCCTCTTCATCCCAACAAGTCACACCTAATTCAATTTTGTTCTTCTTTGAAATGTTTTTGTCCTGCTTTTGCAATGAAATGTTTTCAGACATGATCATACCACATTTAAATGAATAAATACTGCCGCTTCTTAGGAATGGACCTCAACAGATGGGAAAACTTGACATCTGAGCGTTCAGTCTGGGGGCAGGCGGTGCAGCATGGCCTCTCCCAATTTGAAGAGACACTTGTTTAGCAGGCTGAGGCAAAGAAGCAGTCCTGAAAGCAACAAAATCAGGGAGCTAGCCAGGGGACAGATTGCATTTGTCTTCAGTGTGGAAGGGATTGTCACTCTCAAATTGGCCTTCTCAGCTACACTAGATGTTGTTCCAAGAGCTCTATTCAGAGCATGTTACCATAGTTTCTGGAGAATGAAGGATGCCTACACTGCTACTTGTACTGTATTGTTCATTAGTTATATACGAATAACACACCAAATATCTATCTTGAAATATAACATGACTTCATAAAGGCATTTTTCAATTACAATTTCCAGAGTTCCCCAACCATCATAGTCACAGCCTTACTGACATGGGAATCAGGCACTTGATAGTAAAAAACAAAGAGAGAACTAGGGAAAAATCACACACATACCCTAACTCCAAACACTGCAGACAAAGGGTGAAAAAGTGGCACCCACTATATATATAATTAAGCCTATAATGCTTACAAACAAACACTAAACAATTTTTAAGGCATAGTGCTTTATTAAGTTAGTTAGGCCTACAAAGCAGCGATGACTGTAGAAGCTTCATCGGATAAGAAAAACAGGAAGTACAGAGCCATTATGTAGGAGTACAATTTTGGTGTAGAGTTTTTTTTCTGGGCGATACTATTTCAAACTCCAAGTGGGTGGCTCCAAGTTTCCTTCGAAAATATTGTCTTCAAATGCTAGACAGAAATAAATTTTGTATTACAGCAAAAGGTTCACTGAGAACTTCGCCTCAGCCACCTAGCTTCTAATAAGAGCATTTTTTATTACATGGAATTCACATGGGGGGGGCTTCACCGCCCACTCCCCCAAATGGGACAGTCCACGAAATAGGTGTCCTCTCCATTCTGTGTAGCTCATAGGACCGGCCCTGACACAGCCTCTTCCGGCTCGCGGAGGTGAAAACTCAGGAGAATCAGAATGCATATGCATATGCATACGCCTCTCTTCCTCAGTCTAGCGCTATGAACGGCCCGATAGGGGGCGCCACCGACCCCTCCGCTCGCCCAGCGGGAGGCGGTGGCATTGACGCGCCCCTCCCACCCCACATAGCGCGGCGCGCGCACCGACCCGACCTCCCTCTGCTTAAAAAAAAAAAATACACGAGTGACGTAACCACGCCGAAGCGCGTCCTTGCTCTGACCAATTGTGGCCATGTTCACATTGAGGTTATCCGTCTGCGAATGAGAGGCGAGCTGCTATTCGCTGGGGGGACGAGCGACGTGCCCCCCCCCGTCGTATGCCTTCCCCGAAGCGGCGCAAGGAGGAAGGGAGGGGAGAGAGGAGCCGCTGGAAGTTAAGATGGCGGCGCGTGTGAGAGTAGAGTGCTGACCGAACCCTTTCCCGCCCGTCGCCGCCGCGAGCTCCTCGTTCCGTCTTGTCTTTTTCTGTCGCGCGGAGCGAAGGCTCCCAAGTGTGACCGAGACACCCAGCGACATCCTGAAGGAGACCCCAAGTTATCCCTCGTCCGTCCTTCTTCCTACCCTCCCCCCACCCCCAACAGCCCGTCCATTTCCTTCTTGTGCGCCCGGCCCCGGCCCGCCTCCCTCCAGGGAGGGGGAGCGCAACATGACATCGATCCACTTCGTGGTGCATCCGCTCCCGGGCACCGAGGACCAGCTCAATGACCGGTGAGGAGGGAGGGGAGGCCAATCAAACCCCCCCACCCCACCCGGGGAGGGGAGAAAAGGAGGAAGAGAGGGAGGAGTCCCCCGTGCGTGAGGGGAGGAGCCACGTATGTTTGGGTGACGAGGGGGGGGAAGGCGGAGAAGGGGGGGCTCTCTTGGAGGGAACCCCTCGCCCCACATGCAGCCTGCCCGAGTTGGGGGTCTCGCCACCGCCGCCTCCCCCGCACTCGGAGCGCAGATCGGGTGCTTGTGGGTCGTGTGGGGGTAAACGTTTCAACGTCCCCCCCCC